GAGAGAGAGAGAGAGAGAGAGAGAGAGAGAGAGAGAGAGAGAGAGAGAGAGAGAGAGTTTGTGGAAAGGGCAAAGATGTAAGAGGGGAAACAGATAAAGGATTAGATGTACATCGGTAGACACATCAACACATACCTCACATATAATAGAAAGTAGATGGAGAAATACATATGTATACGCATAGAAGCATATATACATTGCATACATACATACATACATACATACATACATACATACATACATACACTGAGAGTTGGGGGTGTGTGGGTGGGTTGGGGGGGATAGGGGAAGATAGGGGAAGGGAGGGAGATATATCACCTGCTTCTCTGGGAGGTGAGGGAGATAAGGGCCAGAGAAGAGGGTGTGTTGGGGCATGCACATGTGAGTGGAAGTCGGGACAGATCACATAGGGCCCTCATGATTGAAGCACAATGCTCTTTGCTCTCATTTCACTGAAGTTCTGCACAATGGATTGAAACAAATAATTTTCCACCACATCTTCCCCCCCATGATAACACTGTTGGCATGTGGGCATCTCAACAACAACAACAACAATAATGGTTCTCCCCATAATAGAATACATTGTCACTGTGTCAAAGCTACTACCGTTGCCAATCCTTCAATGTGTTACAACCACTGGTCCCTCTTATGAGTTGTCCCCGTGCTTCCACTGCACCCACCCGTCAAGGTCCCACTTCCTCCGCTTGGACTTCGACTTTGGCTGCCACTGCCAAATGTCTCTCCCGGGGAGCCTCCTGCTTCCGTCCATCTTTTCCATTCGCCTCCAAGCTCGTGCCACGGCGACCCTCCTCCTCCTCCTCCTCCTCCTATAGTTGTTGTGTCTGTCAGCCAGCTTGGTCCAGGGTGCATGCCACCAATGGGTAGCTGTGTGCTCTGGTGCCCCAGCATTATTCCATGCATACCAGGGAGAGACGTTGACGATGCTGACCCGATTATTGGGGAGGCCCCAAGAGTGGTTCTGGATGGCGAAGGTAGACAGCTGCCAATGCCCCCAGCAGGCGCACTGGGCCCAGCTCCTGGGGTGGCGGTGAAGAGCCCACCCAGCCCAACTTGAAGATGGTGAGCAGGCGGGTTCGAAGGGTGATTATGGGGTGTCGACGTATGATACACTGGGGGGATGACAGGATTGACCCCTGTGGCAGGGCTCGGTCGATAATGGATGCCGGCCGCTGCCCTTCCAGCTGTTCCGGGACTCGATAAGCTCTCCCAGGGCTGTCGCAAGGTACCTCCTGGTGGCTGCGGAAAACTGAACACTTGTCCGTAGCCCGGCCCAGTGGGAAGAGACGGCCCACATGCGGCTGCTCCCAAGGGGTATCCTGCTGTCGGGCCTGCACACACGACTGGCGGAGGAGCAATGGCTGGACCGGGTCCCCGGACGTACGCTGCTGCTGCTGCTGAGGAAGGATCTAGACGTGCTGCAAGCCCAGGAAGCCCCACAGCAGTCGATGCTGTTGTCGCCAACATGGCTCCCGTTTCCGATCTGTGCAAAGGAGAACCATATGGGTGGTGGTGCTGAGCTAACTGCCTCGTCGATGAACCCCAGATCAGAGCAGGAATGCATCACAGGAGCAGTCATGGCATCCATGTTCACACAATGATGATGGTCCAGATTCACGTAATGGTCAAGATTCACAGAGTGATTCAACATGGAAACCGCCAATGTTAGTGGAGGCCGTCAGGCGACTCACTCACCAACAAGTCGTTAGAGCCAATATCCTCTCAGTGACATAAAAATTTCCAAAATTTTAGTAGCAGTCTTTTCGGAAGTTTTTCCACAAAAAAAAATTGTTGTAATTCTCAGCCGAAGCTGTTCTTTTTTTATATATTATTATTATTATTATTTTTTTTTTTAAACAACACCCCCGCCGGTGATAGTGGCGCTGATAAGAGCAGGCACCACTACCACTTGGGGAGAGGCTCCGTCTATTGGTGGTGAGCGTCACCTGCTGGAAAACGGGTCTGGGTAATGGCCCCGGTATCTCAAATTGTTCTGTATCAATTGCTCTGTTTAGTGCCCTGTATATTTCTCATGAGGGATGCTGGGCCTGGTTCCCAGCACGTGTCGCTCCTAACGTTTTTTTTTTGTATTGTTTTTTTTTTTTCCCTGCAAAAGCGACATCCATCCATTACATAAAATGATCGAGGCCGGGGTCCTCACAGTCTACCCGGCTCCTAATGTATACATTGGAGCAGTGTTTAAGGGAGGGAAAAAAAAAAAAAAACAAGTGCGGTAGTACCACACTTTCGAACTGTAAAGGCAGAAATAACAGCAAGAGGCGGTAACATCAGGCCCCGAGTTCGAAAAGGCAGAAATAGTAGGCTACCAGAGTGGCCCGGGGTCACTTGCCCGGCCGGGCCAAAAAGATTAAAAAAAATAAAATATTTTAAAATTTTATTTTATATTTTAAATTTGGTAAAGAATTTCGATGTGAGCCTGAGGCAAAAGTTGTTTAGTTTATTTTTCTACATAGCATAGTATTTTTTCAGAGTTTTTGGATTTTTTATTTTTTTTTGCTGGGACCTTCCCTTGTCCTTGCACGGGCTGGTAACCCGGGCCCGGGCGGCCCGGCTGGTGGTACCGCATTTTGTAGGCCGTTTCTTTTTTTTTTTTTTTTTTTTTTTTTTTGGTCACACGCTGCGGTGCAGCTGGAAGGAGAAAAAAAAGTTGTTTTTGTTTTTGTGTGTTTGTTTGTTTGTTTTTTGTTGGTCCGACGCGCGCCGCGCCGAAGGTTGGGCCACGGCTGAGATGTCTCGGCCACACCCCACATTGGCCATGGCCGAGATGTCTCGGCCACACCCCAGATTGGCCACGGCCGAGATGTCTCGGGCACACCCCAGATTGGCCACAGCCGAGATGTCTCGGCCAC